CATTATATCGTAATTAAAAATATAACATTTAAATTATATCTACACTTATTAATACTATGATATATAAATATATCAACTTTGCATGAACCAATTTATTTCAGTGGTTAAATGAATCGTTGTTGTTCCTAGAGGTCATGGGTTCGAGCACCAGCAGCTATAACATGTTGATTGGGCATTCATTGTCAAATGATTGAGAGTATTTAGAACATATATTACTTTGTAATCACCTAAACTTAACAAAAATATGAAATAAATAAAATATATTAACTTAAACGATAAAAAAATTCAAAATAACTCATTAATAATATTTTTATATTAAATATTTTATTAAAAAAATACATTATCAATACTTTTTAACATGTGGACATAAAATTATTATGAAATAATAATTTAAATACTTGTTTTGACAAAAAGAATATTATAAAAACATTAGTAATTAAAATAAAATTTTAAGTAATAAATTATTTTTTAAGGATGTTAATATTAAATTATCAAAATAAAATATAAATATATAATTGAGTGAAGTCCGTGTATTAGTAAGGGTAAAATTATAATTTGGTCACAATCACAAAGTTGAAACTAAAAAAAAAGCTAGAAATCCTAACTTTTCGGTTGGTTTTAAACCATCATTTTTATCATATTTTTTTTATTTTATTTTTTATCCATTTGACATTAATTTTACAAAAAGAATTTTAGAAAGTCACGATTAAGTAAAGAGTGCGTTGAACAGTAGTCGAGTTGAATGGATGGCAGTAAAATGTTGTGAATAGCAGGAGACTTGGGAAGAGCAATTAACCAAAAGTTAAATGGGAGGCTGATTAATGATTAGGATCCAATTTTCATTCCATTCCACATTTCTTTATTCCTCAATTTGCTTCATTATTTAACATTCATTGTATTTTATATTTGGTAGAACACAGAGAATAAAATGTTTGGGTTAAGTGGAATTATCACTCCATCCCACTGCACAGGTTTATTATTGACTCTTGAGGCATGGCAGGTGTACCAGACATAGTACCAACAACTTCATCGGCTGTTGTACGAGAAGCATAGGTAATATGACTAATCAAGTTGCTATTATAAATCCTGGCATCTTCATTGGTGGCATACTTGTCTCCTCTTGAACCTCTCGAGGGATAGCCGGTATGATCTTCATGTCCGCGAAATTTTGATCAGCCAAGGAAAAACGTTGATTGACGATGGTGAAATGAACAGCATCTAGCTGAGCATCGAACATGTTGTCGTAACGTAAACCAGGATTGGGATCTACTTTGGCTTGGGGAGATGGCTTAAACAGAACTTGGTCTAAAGAAGAGTCTCCAATGGCAAAATAAGGATACAGATTGATCATAAAAGGTGATCGGTTCTCGTTCAGGAATTGCAACAAAGGATTCAACAGAAATGCAAGGCTACTTTTGAAAGCCCCTTGGGAAGGTGGGTATGTTTTGGATAGAACATAGAAGGGGAGGGATGTTGAAACCTTGATCCTGTCTTGCAGGCTAGAGTTTTTCAATGCCGAAACCACGTTTCTCATGGCGGGCACAACCAAGTAGGCAGGCACCACCTGTTGTAGACTACTGACTTTTCTCAGTAACAGGAAACTTGAGAAGCAGAGTCAACAATAAAACAAGATCATGCAGTTTTTCAATCTCAGCTTCATTTTCCACACACAAGGGGCTCGTCCCTCAACCTCAACACCTCCCTACACATTCTTTTTTTCCTTTTCCAGTCTTTTGTATAATGTAATCTATAGCAGAAATTATTTTAGATTAAAAAATTACTAGGACTAGTTCCAAGATAATAACTACAACATTACTTAATACGAATCATTATACTATGTATCTTAAAAGAGAACAATCTTTTTAGTCTAAATACTTAGGTTAAAAGGTTTCACGTACAACGATAAAATATTTTAAATATCATTGATTTCTTACTCATATAGTTTAATTAAGCTAGTTTTGGGGTTGATGTAATGGTAAGAAAGGTGGCAATATATCAATGTTATTGAAACGTCGTTTAGTATATTTGGACTCAAATTTTAAGGTTATCTGACTTTTCTAGGTCAATGTTTATAGGAAGTCATTTTGTGGACTGCAAATTGTATAGGTTTTAAGATTCAAAACCGGTGAGCATTCAATCGAATTGAGTTAATTTTTTTTTAGTTATTCGAGTCGACTAGTCGTATTTTACAACTCGAACTTAACTTGAAATTTTTTCTAGTCGAGTTATTCGAGTTTATATACTATTTTTATGAAAATAATTTATATTTTATGACAGTGATTTGTTACAATTTTTTTACTTTCTCTAACTATATATATATATATATATTATTCTTTTCATATTATAATATTATTTAACAAACCAAATACAATCTAAAATTATGAAATATATTCATAATACTATATTTTAAAGAAATTATTTTGAGGGTAAACTATTGATGAGAGCATAAAGGAGTAGAGGAATTGATGGGAAGAAAGGATTTGCAAACAATTGTAGTAAAAAAGACCAAATTGAGTAAAATGCAAAGTTAAGGGACTAAAAAAAAGAGACTACAATTTTAGTAAAAAGTAAGAATTGAAGTTATATAGGTATTTTATTGCGATATTTGAGCATGTGGTTAAAATTTGGTTAAAAAATACTTAAAATAAAGGATAAATTGAAGAAATAAGGAAAATATGAAAAATTAATGGACTAAATTGAAAAAAATATTATAAAAATGGAATTGAAAGTACATATGTATTCTAAGCTAGTTTATGAGCATGTGGTTCAAATTTGGTAAAAATGGACTTAAAATTGAGGAGGAATTGAAGGAAAATTGAAATCGCGGACTAAATCGTAAAACTATCAAAATATTTATTCAAAATTTTGATTTTTCGAGTGACAGAAATTTCAAATTTTCAACTCAACTCGAAAACTGAATTTATAATTTGAGTTGACTCAAATAGCTCGAAATTGAAACTAAATTGTTTTCGATTTTTCGAGACGGTTCGAGTTTTGCTCAACCTTATCCAAAACTGTGGAATTTTCTGCTGTAGCACCTTCTAATGGAACGAGTGGGAAAAAAAACTGTTAAAGATGCTTTCACACTGCTCAAGCGAGCCACCCATGTCTGTGGTAAAACGGCACGTGATTTTGCTAAGCTCGATTATTTTCTCACAAGAAGAAAGGAATCATTCGGTGTTTAATCACTAGTAAATTATTTTAGTTAATCAATAAATTCATGTTGTTCAATTTTTCATCTTAAATTATATTCATTAAATCGGCTTATCGATTAACCAATTAATCGGAATATTTAATTTGGAACTTTATTTATAAAAAATATCAGATTTAATAAAAATGATAACAAATATGAAACTTAAAAGTGTTAAATATTATAAAAACTGGAGTAATTTGAGGTCTTTGGACTTTGAAGTGAAAAAATTATAAAGCTAGAAAGAAGTTATTGTGCACATATTAATTTGGGGAGGGAAAAATAATTTGACACTTAAAACCAATAGGGGTGTTCATTCGGTTAAAACGGTGGCCGACCGAACCGAATTAACCATAATCGAATTAACTAAACTTTTTTTTTCTTTAACCGTTAACCGAACCAAATTTTTTTTCGAACATATTAACCGAACCGAATAAATTTCGGTTAATTCGGTTAATTTCGAATTAACCGAATTTTTTTTTAAATTTTCTAATTTATATAAAAATTAAATATTTTTTAATTCAAAAAAAGTTTATAATTAATTTAAATAATATATAATTATAAAATAAAAATTTAGATAAATTTTTTAATTAATTAATATTGATTTAAGTTTAAAAGTTATTGGATCTTAAATTATTAATTGGGTTTTAAATGGTTTGGGCTTAGTCCATATGTTATATATAATATATTTAATATTTTTTAATTAAAAAACAGTTTACAAATAATTTAAATAATATATAATTATAAAATAAAAAATTTATATAATTTTTTTAATTAATTAATATTGATTTAAGTTTAAAAGTTATTGGATCTTAAATTATTAATTGGGTTTTAAATGATTTGGGTTAAACCCATATGTTATATATAATATATTTAATATTTAAAATTTAATTTCGGTTAATTCGGTTAATTCGGTTAATTAACTGAATTCGAACCAAATTAACCGTTAATCGAATTCTAAAAATTTTCTTATCCGTTAACCGACCGAACTAATTCGGTAACCGAACCGAATTAACCGAACTAATTCGGTTCGGTCGGTTAACCGAATTAATTCAGTTATTTGAACACCCCTAAAAACCAATAAAAAATAAAATAATTAAATAAATTTTAAATCAACTGCAAGTGAGAACGGGATTTCAACAAGTGTAAAAATAATTAAAAAGTTTAACTTCCAAGTGATTTAACTCGAGACCTACAAATATTCAGCGAGGACTATAGAATATTCTAATGCATACATTGTAGGTGATCAATCGGTCTGGTTATTCAATATTACCGAGACACTTGAAATATTTATTTTAAACAACAATAATAAACTAAAACCAAACTTACCAGTTCGATTAAATGTATTTTTTATTTGGTTTTTTTGTGTTCTGGCTTCAATATCAGTTTCAGATATCCGGATTATTTGCACAGCCCTAGTTAGAGGACTATCCTCGGGCAGTGCCCCAATCTCTGGTACATGACGCAATGAACATTGGATCTATGAATTTCCCTATTATCTTGAAAAAATAATACGCAAAGTGTAGTTGCTCCCTCTTTCCATCCAATCAAGTTCTACAAAATTTTCCATCAAACATCAACGCACGCAAAGAGAGAAGACCACATATTCATTGGTATAAGTCTAAGGATTAGTTGCTTATTCTGGTTAATGACAAATCCCTTCAGCGGCAGCCTGAAGTTAAGAGTGTTTTAAATAGGTAGATAAATAACCCTTAATTAACTAATTAAGCCTGAATTCACAAGGCTCAAACACAGAAGCACAATCAAAACTCTCCAAATAAACAAGTAACGAGATCAGAATACAAACGTCAAAGCTCAAAGTAAAGAAGATAGGTTATATATGTCTCGCAAAGTATTATCATATCTTGTAAATGGCTGTGATTCCCAGAAGATTGAAGCATTTTCTCATAACAACGGCAGTCACTTCACATAATAGTAGTCGACTAGTCTCATTATCTGATCCAATGACCTGCACAATTCATCAATATACCACGTGTTATCTAAGTTCCACGTTAACCCAGAATTCAATTTGTCATCAATATTTTCATGGTTTCAAAAGTAGGTTGTGCGCGACTATAGAGAACTGCTATCTTCCGAGCTAGTTAGTTCCGCCATCTTAAGTGCAGGTGATAAGTAATAACAAACTTTATTTTACCAAGAAACTATATAATTAAGATCACAGATCATACCTTGCACTCGGGGTTGCTATAAAATTTCGAGAAGACTTCAGATAAATTATAGAGGTAATCACACAAAACATTTGGTAACAAATTTGTACACGCCTCTTCAACAACCTGAGAGCGAGGAAAAAATGTCAAACAAAATCTGGGTCAAGCAGCGACGAATACATTGGTTTCAATAAGTTCTTACCTCAGCAAACTGTAGCAAATGAAGCCCCAAATCACGCTCATCCTTATGCTCCAATACTAATGTCCCCTTCTGTTAAAAACAAATAAATAAATGAATAAGTCGCAGATATCAAATCTGCAACAAAAGAGTAATGATACCAGCTTTACGGAAACACATAAAAATAGAGATAGTTGCCCCTCCATTTTTTAAGCATAAGTTCATGATATAGAAACCCTATATGCAGGTACATTGCCAAGCATACTCCGCATCTAAAGAAACAAAACTACTGAAAGACTCGGTTCTGCAAAAGGAACTGATAGTTTCTTTTCATGACAATGGATGCACACTAGCCAAGTGAAAAGGCAACTGAGAGATTCAGGAAGCTACAGCTTCAGGTTGAGTGGGAACTTACATTCATCAGTTCGTCTACGTCTTTACCAGATCTCCTGATGATTGAACATATTCGAGCATGAGCATACAGCAAATAAACAGCAGTGTTGCCCTGCCATAAAAAATTTAGAAGGCTGGATTCAGATGATAATAGTGATTGTAGTAAGAGCAACAAAAATGACATTGGTAGGAGCAGAAAACGACAATTAGCAAAATGATGAAACAAATAGTTTCACAAAATATACAGTACAAAAGCAAGAAAACTGTTTAGACACCTTATCATTAAGCATCTGGTCAAAATTAAAAGTGTAATTGGTCAATCTGTTGTTCTTCAAGTCAGCATACCTGTAATCACAATTCATGGATATCAAACAAATAACATGGTACAAGAACTGCCCAGAAGATCATAGCGATAAATAACTTCATATCGTAACATTAGCTTACTTTACAGCACCATAACCAACTGCATCAGCAGTACTCTCAATCTCCTCCTCGGTCCATTCTTCCCCCTTACCTGATCAGCTCACAAAGTAAGAATTTCAGATACAAGAAGTTTGAAAAGTTGAAAGGCAACAACTTAGAAGCAACAAGAACTTGTATTAACAAATACATCACAAATAGTCTTACAAACATAAGGGAGTTAAAAGAGTCGATATGCATTTGTAAAATCAGAGATGAAGTTAGATATCATACCACGCTCAATTAGTGCTGCTTTACTTCGGCTCCTGGCTTCATCAAGTAGATCAACTAATCGAACTACTTCAGTGTTACGGGTTCGAAAACGCTTGCCATCTTCTCCGAGAACAAGTCCAAAACCAACATGGCTTGCTTTGGGATATGAATTGTCACCTTGAGGAAGCCACCCTGCACGTTTCGCAGCCTGAAAAATAAAACAAAATAATTTTCAATGTCAAAAGTTGGAACTCTTTTTCATCCTTATAATGATATCACATGAATCAATTTAGTTCTAGTAAATTGACAAAGAACTAGAAGAGATGTTTCACTTCCTTAATAAAGAATTTTAAAAGATTACACAACAGGATTCAAGAAAGAACTTTGAGGACATACTTTGAACACCATATCAAAATGCTGCTGTTGGCCAACATCAGTAACATATATAATCCACTCAGCTTTCTCTTCATTGAGCCGATACCTACAAATTGCAACATATAGTCCAGAACTAGATGGATTAAAAATGGAGATAAAAATACAAGGTTTTTTCACCTTACTGCTTTGAAGAGAAATAGGATTAATACCATTCATTCATTGAAGTCTGAAGGGGGAGTGATTTCAGATCCAGAACGGATAAAAGCAAGTGTGTTCAACTTCTTCAAGAATGCTTATAATGCTAAATCAACTCTGGAAGTTGTCGGCTGTAATTTTGATTTTAAGCAACTGACAGTAGTTCAAAGGGATTGTCTTGAAGAAGAATTTTCGGAGTAAGAAGTTTGGCAAGCAATTGCTTCCTCTGAAAGTTCTAAAGCTCCTGGTCCGGATGGTTTTACCATGGGCTTTTACAAGAAATATTGGATGAATTTGAAGGAGCAGATCATGGAGTTTTTTTTCAGATTTCTATAAAGGAAAGGAGTGGGTTCATGGGGTAAATCATGCATTTATTAACTTGATTCCTAAGAAAGGTAATCCTGAGCGTATTGAAGACTATAGACCTATTAGTCTTGTGGGCAGCTTATATAAGATTCTTTCAAAGTTCTTTCAAAGATACTTTCATAGTGTGTTAATGATATTATGAGCCCAACTCAGTTTGCTTTTATTCCGGGGAGGCAATTGTTGAATTGCGCTTGTTTAGCTAACGAAGGCAATGACTTCTGGAGGAAACAAGGGCTTAGAGGAGTTGTTTTTAAAGTCGATTTCAGCAGAGCATATTACACAATGGACAGGCAGATTCTTCTAAGGCTAATGAAAGACATGGGCTTCGGTGACAGGTGGTGTTCTTGGATTTCACAGTGTATATCCACTGCTTCGATTTCGGTTTTAGTTAACGGGTCGCCTACAGAGGAGTTTCCAATTGCTAAAGGATTGAGACAAGGATGTAGTCTTTCTCCTCTGCTGTTTAATGTGGTTGGTGAATTACTACATATGATGTTAATGAAAGCAGTGGAATCTGGCCTATTTCAAGGGTTTTCGATTGGCAAGAACCAAAACAACTTCACTTTGTCTCATCTTCAGTTTGCAGATGACTTGATTATTTTCTGTGGAGCTTCCATTACTCAGATTAAGAATGTTAGAAGAGTTTTGAGGATTTTTAGCTTAATGACGGGGCTTCATCTTTTTTTGATAGGAATGTAGGCCTCGTTAAAAACCCCCTTCATGATTAATGGAACACTAAGTGTTTCTCAATCAGCGGAAGGAGGAAAAGAGTGCCTTAGGATTCATTAAAAACAACAATATACATAATGTTTAACAACAACACATAAACACTCCCTGTACATAATCCAACCCAAAGACTACAAAAGCAAATCACAAATGTAAAACTAGCCAATACCAGCTTTGGCTAAACTATCAGCCTCAACATTGGCTGACCTAGCAACCCATCTAATAATACCATTCAACTCCCTTAACTTAGTAACAATATCTTTTACTAAATTAGAGTATACACCGGGACAGAGCTCAAAATTCTTGACCCACTCTACTGCAAGCTTACTGTCAGATTCAATCAATAAACGTTCCTTCATCTGCTGATGAAACGGCTCAAAAAAAATTAGGCCCCTCTTAACTGCCAACAACTCAATCAGCGCCGGAGGACCTGGACCAGAAGGCTCTTGAAAAGAGCCCATCATCGAGCCATCCTCATCTCTAAGAATTCCCCCAACACCACTCTTCCTCCAATCACCATTCACTGCTGCATCCACATTAAGTTTAATAAAACCCTTTGGAGGAGGAGACCAAAACACAATTTCAATGATCGAACACCTTGACTTAGAGCAATAATCCCCAATAGTAGGATCAGAGATGAGAGAGTCTTTTAGAATAGAGACATCCTTGGTATTCGTTATGAACCAGGTCGCCAGCCTACATCTTGCCATAAAAACAGATCGATCTGATCGAGCCTACCCCATCAAACACAATGTCATTCCTATATTTCCATATAGTCCATAGCACCACACCTGGAATATATGACCAAATTCTAGAATTAGGAACCAAATGCTCCCAAGCTATCAGAAAACTTTGAGCATTGGCCTGCAAAACCGAACTAACACCCCACAATTTCAAAAATTTCATCCACAATGTCCATGCCACAAGGCAAGTAAAAAATAAATGCAAAGAGGATTCAACCTCTTTTTTACAAAGGGGACATGACACATCTATAACAGTTGAAACTCCTCTCCTTTGTAGTTCCTGTTTTACTGGCAGTCTATGATGCACAACCTGCCACAAAAAGACCTCCACTCTGGGAGGCACCAAACCCCTCCAAATGAATTTCATCCAAAAAGAATCAGCTGACAAAACAGGACTGCAAGCTTTAACACTGGTCTTAACAGAATAGATCCCATCCCCGTTTCCTCTCCAAACCCACCCATCAGACAGATCCTTGGACAGAGGTATATTGTGAATTAAGGTCATCAGATCGCAGAATTGAACCAGTTCCCAGTCACTCAAACTCCTTCTCAATTGAACATGCCAACACCAAACTGAGGACTTGAACTCACCAAACTCTTTTAACTTCCCATTTATTATTTACAGACAGAACAAATAATCTGGGGAAGACCTCTTTAAGAGGGGAAACAGTCGCCCAATTATCAGACCAGAAACTGATTCTGTCCCCACTGCCTACTCGAACATCTAACAGACTTCAAAATTTAGCTCCGAACTGGTCATCTTTGAAATGATTATTGACTATCGATTTCCAAATCCAAGAAGAAAAAGCAGGTAGTTTTTCCTTGAACATCAACAAACTAGGGTCCAGATTATACTTACTGCAAATAACCTTTTTCCACACTGACCCTCTATCATTCGCAAACCTCCAAGACCACTTTCCTAGGAGTGCTCTATTCATGTAATTAAGATCTAGAACTCCTAGACCACCCGCACTTTTTGCAGAGCATACTGTCGACCAGTTTATCCAATGGATTTTTTTAACCTCTGCCCCTCCTCCCCATAGAAAACTGGCCATAATGGAGTTTAGCTTAACAATCACGGAAGAGGGTATTTTAAACAGGGACATGAAATAGGTGGGTAATGAGCATAAAACAGCCTTTAATAACACTAATCTTCCTGCCACAGACAGAGTCCTCGCCTTCCAGCTGGCTAGCTTCTTGTTAAATTTCTGCACTATCGGATCCCACAACGCTATAGAATTTCTCTTAGCACCAAGCGGTAATCCCAAATATTCCGAAAGAAAATGTCCCACTATACAACCAATAGTATTAGCCCACTGCAACACCTCTTCCTCACTGATATTAATCCCAAATAATCTACACTTAGTGAGGTTTAATTGCAGTCCTGAAATGACTTCAAAGACCCGTAAGACCCTCTTGACATTTAGAATCTGTGTCTTCGAAGCCATACAGAAGATAATGAGATCATCTGCGATTTGCAAATGTGACAAATTAAGAGCTGTATCATCCTTGCCAACAATCAAACCACTGAACAGGCCCGAAGATACTGCTTTCCTAATCAGTAGATTAAGTAACTCGCCAATGAAATTAAACAGCAATGGTGACAAGGAGCACCCTTGTTTAAGACCTCTAGCCATAGGAACCCCATTAACTAGCACTGAAACCGAGGCAGTTGACACACATTTCCGAATCCAGCCACACCATTTTAATCTGAATCCCATTCTAACCATAACTTTAAATAAAATATCCCAATCTACCGTATCGTAGGCCTTCTTGAAATCCACCTTCAACACACAACCCTTCAATCCTTTCTTCCTCCACAAATCAATACCTTCATTAGCGATGAAAGAACAATCCAAGATTTGTCTACCCTAAGTGAAGGCAAATTGTGAATCACTAACAACATCATCCATGCAACACCTCAACCTTCTCGAAAGGCACTTGGAAAGAATCTTGTACATCCCACCTACTAGGCTAATTGGTCTGAAATCATCTAAACCCCCAATATTAGAGCCCTTTGGAATTAGAGTTATGAACGAATGATTAATGCCATGCTCCCAATCCTTTCCCAAGTAAAAGTTATTGAAAAAATTCATAATATCACCTTTCAATGAAGACCAAATTTTTTTGAAAAAACCCATACTCAGCCCATCCGGACCCGGAGCTTTGTTACTATCAAACGAATTCAAGGCTTCCAAAATTTCGCCTTCCGTAAACTCCTTTTCTAGCATAAGACTCTGCTCCATTGAAATTCTTGAGAAATTTAACTTAATATCCTCCACTTCCAAGGTAGTGCGGCTATTGAAAGCTTTGAAAAAATGCTCTTTGACAGCAGACTTTAACCGGACCGGGTCCCTGATAATAACCCCATCTACACAAATAGCATTTAGAGCGTTCCTCCGCCTCCTAATGGAAGCACAAGTGTGAAAAAATTTAGAATTCCGATCACCATCTTTAACCCACTTCTCTCTTGAATTTTGAAACCAGATTTGCTCCTCAATTCTGTAAAGTCTCCAAAGCTCATCCCTCAGTAACTTCAGCTCTGATGAACTATCAATAACTCCTGAAATTCGATTCTTCTGAAGAGAGTTCTCTAGGTGATGGATCTTGTCTTCAATAGCAGAAATCTGTTTACTAGGAAACTGATTCCTATTTCCAGACCAAGTCTTTATAGCAAACTTAGTGTTTCTAAGAATGCTCAGAATTCCTGCTTTTTCTGACCCTCTTGAACTCATTAATAGACTCTGCAACTTTCTCTTGGAAGCCGTCCTCAGTCATCAAATAACTAAACAGCCTAAACGGCCTCTTGCCCAATTGTCTTCCCCACTCTCCAAATAATAGCATAATGATCAGAAATGGACTTTGTCAACAGCGATTGGGTAATATCAGAAAACTTAGAAAGGAAGCTGACATTAACCAGAAACCTATCCAGCCTAATAACAGTGGGGCAATCCCGATTACTGCTCCATGTATAATTCCCCCTATAAAGGTAAGTCGATCATCCCCGTTTGCTGAATGAACAGAGTGAAAATATCCATTGAATTTCTATTTGAGACCTGCCATCCTTCTCCTCCTGTTAAGTAAGCATTGAAATCCCCTCCCACACATAAAGGCAAACTGCACCCATTTAAAAACTGTCCCAATTCTTCAAAGAAACTGGCCTTCTCTTCTTCCACAGACGGGCCA